CCCAGTATGCTGTTAGCCTTCTTTACAATAAGGGCACACTGTTGGCTCATATTCAATTTATTGTCCACTGTAACCATCCAGGTCCTTTTCTGCAGAGCTGCTGCTTAGGCAGTCAGTCCCCAGCCTACAGTGGTGCATGGGATTGTTCCGTCATAAGTGCAGGACTTTGTGCTTGTCCTTACTGAACCTCATGAGATTTCTTTTGGTCCAATCCTCCAATTTGTCTAGGTTGCTCTGAATCCTAGCCCTACGCCTCCAGTGTATCTGCTGCTGTCACCAGCTTGGTGTCGTCTGCAAACTTGCTGAGGGTATACTCCATCCTATCCTACAGGTCACTCATGAAGATATTGAACAAAACCAGCCCCTGGACTGACCCTGGGGCACTCCACTTGAGATAAGCTGCCAACTAGACATCAAACCATTGATTGCTACCCGTTGAGCCTGATGACCCAGCGAATTTTCTATCCACTTTACAGTCCATTCATCCAGCCCGTACTTCCGTAGCTTGCTTGCAAGTTGGGAGAACTCAGGTAATGTAGTCTGGAGAAGAGAAAACTGAGTGGGAACTTGAATACAGTCTTCAAATAGAAAAGGGTTTTAAAAAGAGGATGGAGATGACTCTCTTAGGTCTTCACAGGGGGACAAGAAAAGAAGTACCATCTCATATGGCACCAAGGGAAATTTTATAGTGTATATTTGAAATCTAACTGTGAAGGTGGTTAAGCACTGGAACAGATTGCCTAGAGCAGCATTTAGCATTGTTTTCCAACATCTGGCTGGAATGGCTCAGCTCAAGTCTGAGGTCGCCTGGTGGTATGACCCAGCTGCCGATACTGATTCTTCCCACCATCACTTTTATTTGCCACCTAATAGCAGCGCAGCAAGGGTGAAGCTTTCTGCCACCTGGCAGCTGAGCAACCTGGCAGCGGCCTGAGCAAAGCTCCATACTGCCAAACGCAACCAGAACCTCAGTTTCATAGACCAGATCCAATGGCTCATTGTTCCATAAGTCACTTATCCATGGACAAGAGAAGTTGTAAAATTTCTTTCCTTGTAAGTTTTTAAGCGCAGGTTAGATAAAAACTTGCCTGGGATGGTTTAGATAGGGATGATATTACCTTGAGCAAAGGGTTGGACTGAAGAGCCCTGTCTCAAGTCCCTATTTTTCTATGACTTCATGTTCACAAAAGTGGCCACATAAGCATAAGCAGATACACACAGCAGGCAGATCTTCTATTTTTCTGACCAAAACACATATTTACCACTCTTTATTCCTTCTAGACAGTCAATCCAGGTGATTGAACTGGAGCCTAACCTGTGTTGAATATATTAACAGAATTGTCATATAAGTTCTAACGGAAAAAACAAATAAACAAAACAAACCTCTATAACTCATAATCATGCATGAGTCAGAAAACGTATGCATTTTTTTACACTGTGAGTGAGTGTGAGGCACTAGCAATTAGAGAAAACATATCTGAAATTTAATCAGGAAGGCTAAGGTAGAAATCCACAATGCTATGTTTTGAGTAACTTTGCACAGCATAATGATGACCCTTCCAAAAAATGGAGATCTGTTGAGGCTGAAGGCAGTGAGCATCTATCAGGAGGATCATGAAGGTAGAATACTTCCATTTGGGGATCAGATGGCAGCAGAAATGTCACAAAGTCACTCTACTTCTGTCTTTAGAGAGGCAGAGGATGAAGATCTGCATTAGTCAAGAATCAGTTTTATAGGGATGAGAGCTAAAAAACCCCCAATGTGCTCTGAATCAGGATGAATGATGTAAAATGTCTGTATCAATAGGATTCCTTTAAAACAGACAAAACACAGGAGCTTAAAGACAGTGAGCAAAGAGGTTGAAGAATTTTAGATGGTATTTAGAAATCTGGGTATTTTTTGGAAAGAGTGGAGTACTGCCAAGTAACAGTGTAGGTGACAGACAAACCAGGAAGCTACCCATTCAGAGAGTTGAACATTTGTTAGTTTTGTACAGAAATTCTTATGTGTTGTGGTAGGAGAACACAATGAAAAACTGACTGACGGTCAGGAGGATATGGATATAGGAGAAACAATTCAATGAATAACGTACATTTAAAATAAAAAAAGTGTTTGATAAGTTTCTTTATCAGAGTTAAATGGCAAAGGAATAGGGGGAGAACTTGGTTGAAATCAGAAATGATAGAAAGGCCAGAATGGGAAGGTTTTCAAGCTTGGAGGGGTTATGACTCCTTTGGAGTACTCCAGAAGTTAATCTTAAGACTGCTTTAGTTACAAAGTGCACAGTTGTAGTAAAATTACTCAGCACATGTAATGTGGCCATTTTAACAGAGGAACAGAATGCCAAACAGGGGAGATGTATTGGGATGTGATACATTGAATTTTTGTTTTCCAATGCCTTGGTTTGATGTTTTTCATTGTTTTTTAAATAAAATTATGTCAAAATTTGAGATGTAAAATACTATATATATATTTCTCTCTCTCAAATGAACACAACCCATTAAATAAATTATAATAATTTTTACACCATAATTGGAATATCACAGTTGCAAGACTGATTGCCTTGACACCTTGCTGAGCAGCTGTCCTGATTTTATTGCTACTTACAATTTCTACCTGAGGAAACAAGAAATTCTGAATACTGAAAAATGGTAAATTCTGGTGCCCCTCAGCCAGTTGCTTCATGACACTACTATAATTTGATCAGTTTAAACCTTACAGAACTGGTTAGCATTTGAGAGCTAGCTACTTTCTAAAGAATTAAGGAGAGCCACTGGGATACTACACAGAAAGTAAAGTTCTGGTTGTTAGGGAGGAATCTGGAATTAAATTCATTTAAAGGTCCAGTACTCTATTACAGAAAATCTTCAGTCATACTTCTCTGGTCTGCTTCCTTTTTGATTCCAGTCCCCAAACAATGGGCTAGAAACCAACAGCGTGCATTTAATGGTGGGAACCATCTTACAAGGAGGGAACTATTGTACGGAAAAAGCTATTACTTTATAAAGTGTTTGCTAAATCCCATACTATGTGAAATACAGGGTCTATCCCAGGGGATGCTATGTATTGCTTCAGGGAATACTGACCAATAAGGGGCAACTGTTAGATCTTATCTGAAATATTTGGGCACTATATAAAATATTATAAGGAAACACGGGTGTTAGGAGAATGAAGGGTCTGTTTTTATTTGAATTATATGAAGGGAGAATTTGAGACAACAGTTTTTTCTATGACATTTTGATGGGGGTGGATGAAGTCACTTCGATACTGGCTCAAAATCGAGAAAACAGGGAGGTACCTAAAAATTCTATTGCAGCTTAAGAGTAGTGCAGTTTAGTGAGTGGAATCCAGGGACAGAAAGCAGGAACTGCACATTTCTATTCCAAGCTCTGACAGTGACTAGCTCATTGTCCTTATCCCTGCTCCATGCAAAGAGGCCAAAAGTTGCCATAAATGGGCAGGTGAATATTCTTACAGTATAGAGGAAGCATCAGGGCTAGGCCTGAGTGAAAGTGGTCACTGCTGGGATGTTCTACAGTCTGGTAGTCTCCTGCTGATACAATGGTACATTTGAGCCAGTTGCAAGCCTCTACTGTTTAGACCTGCAGCTTCAGAATCAAGGACCTGAAAAAGAGGTTCTTTAGCTCCTCTCCTTCAACTGTACCCAGTAGTTACTGGGCATAGCTGAGAATTCAACCTTTGATCCTTCTGAACCTCATTAATATATGATCAATATTTAATTACCTACCTTACCAGGGAACTGCAAAGATTCCAGTGGGTACCATTAGTACAGTGATTTGATAGTGAATAACAGCGTACACATTCTACAAAGGTTCCCAGAAAAGGTGACAGAAACAGATACTATAAATGAGGTTCAGACATCCCTCGATATTTTTCAGAGGAGGGATTGAGTAGTCCTATGAAAAAGCAGGAGGGGGTAGAGAAATTAATTTTTAAGCACTGGTTTTTCAGGTTGAACCAGGGCATAGTGGAGCCAGATAACAGCCTTTTCCTGTTCCTCACATTAAATATATATATTTTCAAACTGGTGCATATTTGGAAGTAAAAATCGCAGGACATGGTACAGGGCAGCATGAAAGAAATACCAGGCAGATCACCCAGAGGACAGGGCAGTAAGAGGGTAATTGCCAATGAGTGGACAATGTAACCAGGAAACAGGTGAAAAGGCAGGAAACACTAGACATTCAGCAAGTTGATAAAGCAATATCAAACAGTCAACAAGTGCACAAAGCAGGAGGAGAATAGTTCAGAAAGTTAGCAGATGCACACAGCAGGAGGAGGGCAATGTCAGGCACTCAAAAGGGGGGCAAAAGGGCAGCAGGTCAGTGCCCATGTATAATAGGATACAATGGACAAGGAGGCAATGCAAGCCATTCAATGGATGTATAGAGCTGTAAATAGTCAATGTCAGGCAATTATCTGCTCAAGAAGGCAATGCCAGGCAGGCAAGTCAAGCAAAAGGCCAGTGTTTCAGGAGGGCAATGCCAAACAGGAAACAGGTATAGAGAGTAGAAAGAGGGCAATGAATGCCAGGCCATCCCTAGGCAGGCAAGGTAGCAAGAAGGCAATTCCTGTGAACAATCAGATGCAACTGCCAGCAAGGAGAAAGCAGAAACCTATTAACAGACTGGCAGGGCAGCAGGGAGACAATGCTTTCCAGGTAACTGAGGATACTGTGGGTAAAGCAGCCAACCAAATCAAGTTGCTCACCCTCTAATAACACTATTAGATTAACAGCGAGAACCATGAAAATCTACAAGAGAATAGCACATAAAATGGAAACAGCAGCATGAAACTGAGCCCTAGCACCTGGGGAGGCTTTGGGACCCTTCTATAAACAGAAATATGAGAATCCACAAGGAAATGAAACAAATGGGAAAAACGTGTCTGGAAATTGTTTCTGATGATTCAAAAGCAAAAAAATACTAGCAAAGAATTAGTTTGGAAATGATTTGCTGGGATTGACGATGTTGCTTACCCCTCTCTGGAGCCCACATAATGGGAATGTTGGGAATTTCTGCAGCAGAAAAACAGAAGAGAAAAGGGATTTCTGACTCCCAGTTCAAGGAAAAGCAGGTCAGTTTAGGACTGGGGGAACTGATTTGGGCAAAATAAGAATTTGCCTGAATCTTCACCCATCCCCAAAACTACGCTTTTACTGAGTTTTGAGAAAGGTTTAAAGCAGTCCACACCACTTTCTTCTTATGACCTCCCCCCATATTTCCAAGTACAACACTTACCTCTAGTGCAAAGCATGTAAGAGGGGAGACATGCTTGTGTGCTCCCTCCCATATCCACTGCAAGATGGCTCCTGAGGACTGTGAACTATGCCCGCAGGCTGATATAGATCATTTTGCGGGACATGTCAAAGAGGTTCATTAATCCCAGTTTATCTCTAATGAAGGTTGGTCTTAGCAGTTGTCCAGACAAACACCTTCTAACTCTAGATGACATTTTTGGGGGGGTGGGGTAAGGGTGAGGGGGGATGTTTCTTCTTCATAGCAGCTGCTATATATGTGGAAATTTAGCAACTTCTTTATTTTACTTTGATTCTCCTGTTCTCATCCAATTCATAGGCTCTCTGTAACTCACACCATTTCAAACTGTGTTTCAGAAATCCCACCTGCTGTTTGGTTTCAGAAACACATAATGAAATCTGGGACATAAGAGTTGAGAAATTCCCAGCAGAAGCCAGACACAATTGAAATACTATTGGGTCTTTTCATCCAATTGCGATTGCCTCTTTCAGACTGAAGAGAGGTCTTGGCTGAAGATTATGACAATCTTCCTTGGAAGTCAGAAAGAAGGCCAGATTTGTCTTTCTGTAAACTAATCTGCATTGCAAAAGGCTGCCTGCATACACCTCTGCGCATACTTAAAGATGTTCCTCTTGTAAGATAATAGCATGCAAATTGGGGTGGGGGAGAGACTAGAGCTGGGGATCTATGGGAAGATTCTTGCTGAAGACTTACAGGTTCAAACTAGTTTGTGAATTTTTATATATTTACTCAAACTCTCAACATATTTAAATCTTACTTATTCAAGAGTTCTAGGGTCCCTATTTAGAAAAAAGCTGAGATTTCCCCCATTTTTCTAGGAGTTATAGGCATGTCCTAGAAAAATTAGACCTCAAAGGATATTAATGATTAACATTATTTTCCTTTGTAACTGTTATCACTCTACATTATTTCTTCCATCTTCCTTGTTACCCAAAGAATCAGCATCTTCTCCCCAGCTCCCAACCTCTGTCTCAGTGTACTGCTCCTTCCTTCTCAGCCTTATGCCACTTTACAAGATCAGCACATACTCCCTTGGTTGCAATCTCCCTCTCACTGATCCCATCCAACAATGGGGTCAAAACCATTCTCAGTTTTGAAACTCTTTCACAACAAGTTGGTTGATTCCTCTCTTTGGTTTCTAATGCCTGTTCTCCATAATCTGTCCTTCAGTGTCTTTATTATCTGACCCTGTTATTTCATACTTTACAGAAAGTTCCTGACTTACACTCCTACAGTAGGACTGTTGGACTTGCCTGATTTCCCACTCTCAACCGCCCCTTCTAACTCATTTAGGTCTCTCAATTTCCATCTCCTACTGAATCAGTGCTATCATGGCTTCTTGGCCCTTCTATTCTGGAATGGTGTCTTCTGCTCAGATATTTTCCCCAGCATTTTATCTCAGTGATTGCAGATCCCATTTGAATGGTCTTAACAGAAATAAACATCCCAGTTCTATTACATGCACATGGCCACCTATGCATTATTTTCAAGCAGCAAGATTAAAAATACCTATCTTTCACCTGGGCTAGCTGATACTAAGAAAACAATTCTTTACCCTTCAAGCTATAGAGAACCTCAGACACAAGGGAAAAGCAGCACTAGTTTTACTCTACAGCAATGAGCCAGGATTTGGGAAATGCACAGATCCCACAGATAGAAAGCTGTGCAGTCCTATGAAGCAGCATTTGTGAGGCACAGTAAGGCACTGACAGACTGAAGCTGATGGATCAGTATTTACAGGTATTCTCTGGGTCACTGTTCACTTATTTCCTCAAGTGAGAAATGCACAAGAGTGGAGGAGTTAATATCACTTTAGATTTACACATTGTATTTATAGAGGAATTTCTTCTCTACCCATGCCTTATAAGGCACTGTGACTTGGATTTGCAACACCGTAGTGGAAAATCTAGCCTTAAGAGAGGGAGAAAGAATAGCCAGAAATAACACATAATATATAAGGGGCATAAACTAGCCAATAATAGTTAATGACAAGCAATGGAACCAGAGTAGCTGTTAATACAGTACAATGAGGTAGTTAGACTACTTGGTGGAGGCTTCAGCAGCATATGTGTTCTCATGGACAGTAATGGTCAGTTAGTTGCACTGTATCCCACCCACAATGCCTATGACATTCTTTCCTGAAGGTACAGGATCTAGTCATGGCTTAGACATGAATAAACTTAAATAAGTTAGTGCCAGCACACGAGGCAACCTTCAATTACGAGAATGCTGAACAGAGAGAAACAAAGCAATTTAAAAATGGAGAAAGGTTTAAAATGTGAATAATTATAATAACAACAGCAACAATAACAAAAACAATAATAATAAAACAGTAAGCACTGGACTATGTAGCTCATGTTGTTTCAGATATTCGTAATACTAAATAATTGAGAAAAAGAAAACCATGAGTCAGGGCATGGCTGTGAATGGTATGAATGAAGGGTATAAAAATATTTGCTTATTTTCTCACCCACTACTGACAAGAGTTTTGCTGTTTGAAAGGGAAAGGAGAGGCCTTCTGTGCTTATTCACTAGTGTCTAAGGATCAGGAAATATTTTGTCAAAGGAATTTTCAGAGTTTCATACGATAGTAGTTAATAAAGGCAGGGAGATTAATGACCAACAGCTGAGATGCCAATATTCCCTTGAACACAAACAAAAGCAAATTGCTTTCAGTGCCTTGCTTAGTTCCTCTTCACAGTGAGTGTGGTTGATAGCTCTCACGAGGAAAAGAGACAGAGTAAGTGAGAAAACAATAGTTTAACTCTGGAATTTGTTGGAAGTTGGACAACAACAACATTCACAGCTGAGCAGACATTTTGTTAAACAAAATATTTTGTTCAAAAGGAGCAACTAATTTCAATGTTTTGTATACCTTTAATCTCAACTCTTATTTGTCTTCTAGTCTTCATCTTTTGTAATCTACCTCATATGAAAGTCTTTCCAGTTTTCTGTTCCTTTTGTGTCCTTTCTCTTGACTTTATTCTGTTTCTATTATTTTCTTTTTTGAAGAGTATGACCAGAATTGAACAAAAATCGGTGTAGGGGTCATCTAACAATATTTTCAGTATTATTTCTGTTTTTGCCTTTGCCTGCTGCTGTGTGGTGAGAAAATTCTTTATAACAACTATTCATGAAGGTGCTTAGAAAAGAAGATTCAAAAGACTGAGTTAGAATGAAAATCCCAGTAATATGATAATTTCTTTTGGCAATCATCATTATTTTCTCTCCTCTATTAGACTATGAGAACCCTATCATAGAGCTTTTTAAGTAACTATATATCAAATTACAATACACATAGATCCCTATGCAGCTCTCCTACCTGGTGCTAAAATAAAAGTGTGTGACAGAGAGAGATGGTGGGAGGCACTGTAATACACAGAATTAAAATATGTTAATCACAACCACAGAAACTGTAGAAGAAATGCTTTACATGACTACTAGTCATTCCCTTTGCCAGTGCAGACTGTTCTCTAAAATACAGTATTCATTGCTTTCTCTAATCCAATTGTAAAAGGCTATAATAAAGATTTTTTTAACATTTCCCAATGGAAACTATCCCACAGACTATTAGAAAATCTTTCCTGACATACAGGCTATAATTTTTTTGGCCTAATCCCATCCATTCCCTCATCTACTATTATTTGCAACAGGGGTATCGAATTCATCTGGTACTGTGAGCCGTTTGAGTATCACTGAGCCAGTCTGGGAGCTGGACTGGGACTGACCCCCTGGGCAGTGCCTGCAGTGATGGATACAACTAACATGCTGCACATACCACTCACAAGCCCTTGGGCTTGCTGTGAATGTGGTTCTGGGGCTGCTGCATGCTGTATGTGGCACACAGGGTTGGACTGGGTGCAAACGCTGCACACAGCGCAGAGGGTCAGCTTGGCCATGCACTGTATAAAGTGACTTCATGCTGGTTCCAGCATTGCCCAATCCAGACCAGCCCTGGAGCTAGTGCACCATGGTGGTCTAGAAGGGCATCACACACAATGCATACCCCAGACTGTCTCCCTGTGCTGCATGCAGAGCACATAGTGCTGGGTCTAGCAGCATGCAGGGTCAGGGCCAGTACATGGGGTCAGTCCAGTGACCCATGGGCCAGATCACATGCCATAGACGGTATGTTTGACACCCCTGAATTATAATGTTCCATTCAATGACTATATATTTTGCTCATGATACATATCATACCTAATATAGAATAAAATAATATAGCTAAAACAACTCTGGACAGGGAAGCTGGTAGCATTATGAGAAGTGACCATATTCAATTATGGAACAGTGTTGTGTTGTGTTGTATTACAGTACAGTACAACACAACACAACACAAAAGATATTTTGTTTTGGTATTAACCTATTAAATATGAACAAGAATATGGAAGGTGGTCTCTGGGAGTCCCACCTCCTATCATCTAGCATAACAGGACCAGTGTCTTTATTCCACTATCAGCTCAATTTCCTGAGATTTTAAATCCTTTATGCAAAGTGCATTCAAATGGTCTTGAGATAGGAACTTTAAAAACTATTCTGTAACAAAAAAAGTTTTTCAGGCTGAATGGTTCATAGGAAAGCACAGCTGGAAGGGACCTCATAAGGTCATCTAGTCCAGCCACCTGCTCAAGGCAGGAACATCCCTGATTAAATCATCCCAGCCAAGTGTCTGTCTAACCTGCTTTTGAACGTTTTCAAGGATGGAGATTCCACAGCTTCTCTAGGTAGCCTGTTCCAA